AATATAAAATAATACAATAATAATAATAATAAATAATATCTAAAAATAACTAATAATAAAAATAAAATAAAATAATCGTTCTACAACAATACTATCAAAATTTTGCTCAATTTTCATATATCTGTACATCTTTGTACAATCGTACAGTACTATTTTACTAACTACCTTAGTAAAACGGTAAAACCCTAGTACAGAATTAATATGAGTAATACAGATTACATACGCACATAGTAAGTTTTACTTATATAAGGGGTGCGTAACAGAAAATGAAGGTTACAAAAAAATTTAATTATGTATGTAGCTTCATTAGGTAGTAATATGTATACTCGGTAAGAAATCGTGAAGCTAAGCAAGTAGTTCTGGTGTACAAATGTAGATTAGAAGAACCCAAAAAAAAAACAAAAAAAAAAATTACCAGTAGATGAAATAAGAAATGATTTATTATAATTAAAAGAAAACAATAGTTAATTTTTTTTTTTAGGTTGCAAAGTTGTATAGAGATTGCATAATATATACCAAATTCTGTGAAATTAAAATTCTTTTTAATTCAATACTAAACAGGTTGTATACACGCTATCTTATTACCTATAAGTATTTAGAAATATAAATACTAAAATTCATATTAAGTGATGTAGTGATTTGAATTATTTTATCATAATTAATATTCAATTTTTTTATTAAATATGCAATAGGTTTAGAAAGAAAATAGACTATAATATGTTAATGCACTAAAGGAACTATGATTCTAAATTAAATTACTAATACTTATTGATTATAATTAGAAACACAAAGCATTTATTCCACTGTTAGTAAAAGCGAAAGACCTGAAGCAAACACAATTACTGAAAGCTCAGAAATAACCACTATTAATAAAGATTGTGAAACAGCTGTCATTAGTAAAAAACATAGAACAAATGAATTATGGGTTTTTAAAGAACACCACTTATTAGACATGATTCTAATAAGAGTAAATACTTTTTTGTAATATTATAATTGTTATTACTTATATTATTAGTTAATAGTTATTTTATATAATTTTACTAGCAGATTCTGTTCAATATACATATTGCAAAAATATTTTAAAGCATGATAATGAGACAGGAACTAGTTCTTTAATCTGGTATATGAAAAATACAAAATATAAGAAATATTTAAAGGTTGACAAGCCACAACAAACACTATAATTATCCGAATCAGGCATTGTTCTCTATAAATTCTCTCAAAAAAGAAGTTATCAGAATATGATAGAAATGATTATTAGGCAATCATATCCATTTTGTATGTTTGAACATGAAGGTTTTTTAAAGTTTGTAAAAAACTTGCAGCCACAATATAAAATGATGAGTAAAAGAATGATGCATGAAGATTGTATAGATATTGTTGGTAATCTTAAAGAAAAAGTCCACATGATAGTATAAGAGGCCTCTAGAAATATTAGTTATATAACAGATTTATAGACATCGATCTAAACTCTCAGATATATGGTTATAACATGTTATTTTATTAATAAAGACTGGAAACTTCAAAAATTAGTTTTGGGGTTCAAATTAGTTCCTGCATCATATACGGGAATTGTTATTAGTGAAGTGCTCTTAAAGTGTTTTAACGAATGGAATATTACATCAAGAACATTAGCAATTACTATGGACAACGCAACTAGTAATGATACTGCGATAACAAATTTAAAGCACAAACTTGAGAAACAAAACATGCTTATTGCCAATGGAAGTTTGTTGCATTAACGGTGTAGTGCTCATATATTGAACCTTGTAGTTAATAATGGTCTCAAAATGGTTAGAAATGTTATATGCAAAATCTGAGAATGTGTTAAGTAGATTTATAGTTCACAATCGCAACAACAAAACTTTGAGGATGCTGTAATTGGATGTTGTCCTGAGCTCATGTCTAGCCTACAACCAACTCTTGATATACCTATTCATTAGAATTTTGTATATCTTATGCTATCATCTACCATCTTATATAAAAACATGTTTGAGCATCTTGCATTATGAAACAATAATTTTGGTTTAATTATGCCTTTTGATGAAGATTGGGATAAAGCTAGAGATATTTGCAATTTTTTGAAACCGTTCTATGAAGGTAATTCAGGATAATAATATTCTGAACAAATTTGTCTTATTTAATATAGAACCAGTAGTCTTAACTAGTGATGAGAAAAATGCACATTTTATAATAACATGTACATGAATGCACATTAATGCACATAAAATATTTCATGCACATAATATCACATGATAAAAAAAAGGCAAAAAAAAGAAAAAACATTTAAGAAAGGAGAAATCTTGATAGGATAAAATATGCATAAAACGAAATTATATGCATGAATGTGCATGTTTCTGCAATCATGTGCATACATGAAACCCATTTCTAGTCTTAACTACTGGTTCTATTTTAAAAAAGACAAATTGGTCTGGGCTATCAACTCCCTTAGAGTGATCAAAAATTCATTATACAATCTTTCACATCAATTCCATATATTTTGTTCCATGCTAAACATAAATTTATATTAGTTTTAAATATTTTTTTAAGCATCTATCTATTAAAAGCATACTAATTGGGCATTAATTTTAATATAGTCATGAACATTATTTCAAAAAGTAAATATTCGATGGCAAACATCTTTCTTCCCTATTTAGTAACAATTAAGATATACATCGAACGAAATATTATTAATGCAAATCCTATGATTTGTTAAATGATCGTGCCAATGCAATTAAAGTTTGATAAATATTGGGCAGACATGGGAGAAATGCACTGTATTGCATCAATTTTGGATTCTCGCTACAAAATGTCATTACTTACTTATATATCAGCAAAAAATGCATCTATCATCTACTGAAGTAGAAGACAAACTAGATGATATTAAAATGAGGAAAGTTATTTATATATAATTTTTAAATTTTACCTTTTGTTTATTTTTTTTTTTAAAAAAAAACACTTGCTAAATTAATAACTATTTCTTATCTTGTAGAGCTACAATGATTTATAAATCAACATATGCACAAAATACTATTTCTTCTAATAGTTATAGTAATTTTTCTGATCTTTTTTTACAGGATGATAAATTGATGCAGGGCTATGACCGTTTTCTTGAGGATAATCAAGTTAATGCTATAAATAATAAGAATAAATTTGAGCGATATTTGAATGATCTGTTTGTTCCCTGTTCTGAAACATTTGACGTCCTAGTGTGGTGGAAGAAAAATGAATTGAAGTATCCTTCCATGTTGTCAATGGTGAGAGACATTTTTGCCATCCCAATAACCTCTGTAGCCTCCAAATCAGTAAGTAATATTTTAATTAAGTATTAACTTACTGATATAAATTAATTTATTTTTTAGTAATCAATGCTAAAATTTGGCTAATACTGAAGCTAACTATTAAATTATTAGAAATTTTAAATTTTTTTTTTTTTGGTTAGTTTTAGTGTTGGCCAAATTTTTGCATTAACCATATCATTGTTTGTTCAGATATTTAGTATCACAGATAGGATTATTGATGATGAACAGTCGAATTTCAATCTGGAAACTGCTGAAATGTTAGTATGTGGCCAAGACTGGTTAAGAAATAGAAAGAAACAAGGCTGAAAAAAATTAAAGAATGATGTACAATAAGATTAAAGCCAGTTTTTTTTTACATAAGGCTTTTTTAATGTAAAATATTAAAAACTAATGATAATGTTAACTAAGTGGTACAATTCTCTAAAAAAAAATAGGCAACTAAGATAAAATACGGATTGAACAAAAAAATGCAAATCTAATTCTTATGTCATTACGTATTAAGCAATTATTTGGATAGTAAAATGGTTACAAATTTTGTTCAAGATTTTATATATAATTTCTTGAAAAGAAATATGATAATATTAAAAGTGAAGAAAGCTGAATAATAGGCTTTTTGAAGTGCATTTAATAATTTTATACTAATGTTGTTGCACTTGTTACTTTTATGTTTAAAATGTATTTGTTTTAGTAATTTTTTTAAACACAGAGCAAAGCATTAAAGAAATCACCTAATAAATAATAACTAAGATTTATATGCAGGCTTTTTGTCAGGCTTGGGCTTTAATCAGGCCTAAAAAAAATTTTTGGGCTTGTTTTTGAGTCTAAAAAACTGACCTGACCCAGCCTATTTCATACTATAATCATATTATAAATTACAGCTATTACAGTATTATCATAATTCCTAGGACACCTGATAAAATTTGCTAAATGATTTTTCAGCCAATTTGGTTAAATTATTGATTTCGACATAATCGGTATATAAAAAATATATTTTTACATGTAGAATCATGATAATGCTTAATGGATTGGGCTAGGTTAGGCCAGGCCTAATTTTTAAATAAGCCCAACTTGGGCCTACTACTTCCGATTTTTATTTTTTCAGGCCAGGCTTGGGCTCAAAAATATTTTTTTGAGTTTGGTTTTGGGCCTAGTCAAGCTTGGCCTGACCCAGCCCATTTCACACCCTATAGTGTAATAATGAGTTGTCATCCTCCAAGTGGCAGGTCTAAGGTTCAAATCCCACCTATGATGAAATTTAGAAATTAATCTGTGTTACAGCAAACTGTCTCTTGATGATCAATTAGATTTGTGTATCTGTAACCTTAAGTTGCACTATCTCGAATGAGAGCTTGGGGCATCTATGCCAAGTGTAATGTTACATGTACATAGAGGAATGTTAATAACCAGTGTTACATAAGACTTCGGTGCAAACCCATGATAAGACCACTGGGCACAGTAAACTAAGGAACTGAAGAGTTGGAAGCCTACTTGGAAATTTCTAAATAAAGAGGTAGCATGAACTTTCGATAGTACAGTCAGACCAATGAAAGCTTATGAAACACCTTCAAAAAGATAGGCAGATAAACCAAATGTCAAGATGTGTAAAGGAGCACATGACCAACCAGGCTGCCAGAATCGCCAGAGGAAAAGGATACATAAGTATACCATACCAGGCTATCTGGATTGGGAGTCTGGGAAGTCAGTTAGTTCTGAGTTGCAGCTAGTAGGGGATGATAGAGAAGAAGTTGGAAAGATGGGTACCAGGGTTTGGATGAACTTTACAAGGGTAATAGTAGTTTAAGGGGTAACCCTGACTGCAAGTATTAGCCTCGGTTATAGCATCAAACTAGGTTAGCAGTAAAAGGGAATATGGCTCGCTCTGGTAGGTTTACCTCAAGGATAAAAATAGTCTAAGAATTATAGTTCTATGGTCGAATGCGAATAGATCTGGGTCTGTGATCTGATGAAATTAATACTAAGATTAGATTAGAGAATTTAAATGGAACATCTAAGCAGAGATGTTAGGTACAGCAACTGATAGGGAACCCTCGAGCAGACTTCTTAAATAGGTAATATAGAAAAGTTACACATGTAGTCAGTTGTACACTCGTCTAATAGTTCATTATAGATATGTCTATATAAAACATGTATTCGCTAAAAGTATTAATAAAAAGCTCAGACCAAAGAGGTCACTTTAATACCGAAAAAAAAAATAATTATTTAATATTGTTATATATCAAAAATCGTTATTTATCATTAGTAATATATATTGATATATAGTATTTAATTGATATATATCGATTAATTTTAATCAATATATATCGATTAATTTTAATCAATATATATCGATTAAATGCTATATATTGATATAAATCTGCTTAAAAATTTTGGTGATGAAACCTGATCTACTCAAAGATCCACAAAAAATAACAAAATATAATCTAATATTACCAATAACAACATCTAAAGCATTTGTAAAAACCAAGACTATTAAGAAAAACTTATTATTTCTATAGAATTTCAACAACTTGAATCCAAATAGACCAACAAGCAAACCAGTCACAACCAAATAAAACAACAAATAACAAACAAAACAAATCTAATATTTCTTAAATCCTAACAGAATTGTAAAGGGAACTAGAAAAAATTACAGATCTAATATATATTAATATACCTATAAGCTAACAAGAAAACATCACAAACATTTTGATAACTTTACACCAATATTTTAATATTGAAACTATACCTGACTATCTATTACAACTACAACTACTCTCAGAACCAAAATGGAACATCTTTATTTAAATCAATATTAATTGATCTAAATATAAACAATATAACTAAAACATCTAAACAATTTCTAACAAACAACAACTTATTAAACAATATAAAGATCTTAACATATAACATTCAAGATACAAATAACAAACTCAAGATGCAAATATGGTTAGAATACAGTTATAAAAATAATTACAACATAGTTAGCATGACTAAAACAAAGCTTGCTAAATCAATACATACTAGATTTAAGCTACTAAACCCTTATTACAACATATATACATCAAATTGCACTAGCAAAATTGCAAAAAAGCAAGAATTAAGCATAGGCAAAGCAATAGCAATATCCAAATTTCTTTAGCCATATATACACAACATTATAATATTAGAAGCATAGCAATTGCAATTGATTTATTTTTTCTACAAAGCCAAAAAACAAGTGTTATATTTGTTTATTTAATATTTAATAACAAAACACTAAGCAACAACACACAGCAAAAAATTACTAAATGGGTAACACATAACTATGCACATAACTACAGTACTATAGTTCTTGAAAACTTTAACTTTGATAAATAAAAACAAAAACTCAACCTACATTGCAACTATTCATAATAATGAAATCTTATGAAATAAACTATCTACGAGACTACTTCAACATTAACCTGCCTACCTGGACAAGAGGATCTTTATACAGTCAGATTGATGATATATAGATCTCAAACACATTAATGCCCAATATAGACCAATTAGAAATAACTAATGCTAAACTCATAACAGATAGTAACCATAGTATAATTATAACAACATGGCAAACAAATATAAGTATCAAAAAATATAGACCTAAAACAAGAAAAAAAACAATTTTCTTATACAACAAAATGACAGTAGATGACTGAACAGATTTTAAAAGTAACATTAATAAGTATATAAAAAAGCAAAAAAATAAACTTGACCAAGAGATCACTACAGAAGAAGAATTGAACAAAAGCTAGAATATACTAAATCAAGCAATCAAACAGACAGCTAATAATAATATATCTAAAACTAAAACAAGTTTCAAATTGCATTATGTGTTCTTCAAAAAAGCCACAAGACTTTATGCTGCTTTGCAAAAGATTAATCAAATCATAACACACTTAAAAAGAAATGACCAAAACATAGTTTCAATAACAACTCAAGAAATTAATAACAATATTAATAAGATTAATAATCATACAGGTATACAATTATCAAAGCTCAATTATATACAAAACACTAATACACCACTAGAAGATATTATTAAACTACTAAAGCATCAACAAAAAATAATATATTAGGCTTGAAAAATAGAAAACAACATGATACATAAACAAAAAAATTCAAAGCAACATAATAAAAAGACATAACAACTTTTCAACCAATATTACAAAAATGATTAACAGCATATTGCACAGGCATACAGACTCAGTTATACTTAATAACATTACATATACAAATAAAATTATAACAGAGCTGCAAGCAATTAAAAAAGAAATTAAAAGATACTTTCAAAAATGAACAAAAAGCAATCCTATAGACAATAACTACTAGGCAAAATGGCAAGAACAATACTAGCTACATAGAAGAATAAACAAGTCCTGGTATAATACAATATCAAATTCGATAACAACACAAGAACTACAAACCAACTTATAGGAATCACCAAATAGCAAAACAACAGGACCTTAACAAATATCAAATAAAATGCTAAAACATCTAGATATATATACTTATAATCTTTTACTTAAATTTTTAATGCATGTCTTTTAGTTAAAACAATTTTCAAAATGTGAATACAAAGCAATATATATCCAATATTGAAAAAACAAAAATTTTCAAAAAAGTTTAATGAAACATATCCAATTACTCTAATCAAACATATTAGAAAGATTTTCACAAAAATTATAACAAAATGATTAAATACAGTATTTAACAAATATTCAATTTTACATTCAAGCAATCATGTTGAAATTTCTAACACTTTTATACAAATACCAATTGCTACAATTAGTTATATTCTAGAGAATGCTCAAATCAAAAACAAGGAACTATGGCTTTTAAGCCAAGACATGTCAAAAGCATATAACATAATCTATATTTTCTTACTTAAAAAAGCCTTACAAAGAAGAGGTGTGATGACCTAGTGAAGTGGTCAGGTTGTCAACTTTTCAAGTAATAGGTTGGGTGTTCAAATTCCATCAATGGTGAAAATTTAGATAATCATCTATATAATATTTATATTATGACAACTGTTACTAATGATTGGGTTAGGATACCTGTAATGGCAGTCACACCAGCATGACTGGCAAGTTATGGGGCATTCATGTAACAGGTCACATGACATTGTCCTTTGGAACAAGGTTGTAGTTA